AATTTGATGAATTTTTGAGAATTTTCCGAGTTTAATACATGGTTAGTTAACCTTGAGGTTTGATTAAAATTCCAAGAGACCCGTTTTGAAACTCCGACTTCAACGTACATTTACTCATCAACGCTTTAAATTAGCGAAAATTTGGTTCCAATATTTTTTCAAAGGAATTCAATGGGCTCTCTAACAGTGTTTTTGGATTTGCAATCAGTTTGAAAATCACCCAGTTATACGAAAAAAAGTGCAGTGCTACCCGTGGCTCGCCAAATGCAACTTCGGAAAATTCAAACTCCATTTGCTCGAAAGTGGGGGCAAATACCAACTTTGACTCAAACTGCTTTTTTGCGGGCAACCACATGGGGCTTAACGGGGTTTTTAATTTTTGGAAAAATTCTGACAACTAATTGAGTTACGGGCGAAAGAGTGGGCTGACACAGTGAAGACCAGTTTCGGTCGCCCAAAGGTCAAAGAGGCGTTGTTGCCAAAGTAGACGCGAACGCGTTTTTTGGTCAGAGCAGTTTTTTGTTGAAATAGAAGTTAAATCCAAATAGCGCAAAAAGTCAAATTTTTTCTGGTTTTCATAGTTTTTATTAACTTCCGAACAAGTTGGCAACGTGTTTTCTCCCAGCTCGTTGGACTTCGGGGCGCGTTGTTGCCAAACTAGTTGCAAACGTTCTTGAGAGCACTTTTTTGTTCACAAATACAAGCTAAATCCGAAATGGGGAAAAAAGTCAATTTTTTGATTTCACAGTTTTCATTTATTTCCGGACAAGTTGGCAACGTGTTTGTGGGGCAAATGTCCAGAAGTGACTCCAGTCGCTCCACCTCAGTCAGTTTTTGAAAGTAAAAATGAAAGAAAAGTCAAAAAGAAAAGTCAAAAAAGAAAAAAGAAAAGTCCAAATGAAAGACTGAACTTTGAAAAATCCTGTTTAAGTCCCTGATGGTGGCTGGAAAACGAAACTTTCACCACCAGTAGGACTCGCTCCACTCTATCCAGTGCAGCCAACCGCATGGTTTGGTCTTTAGGGGTTTTGGCGCAATTAATTTTAGAAAATCAGTTAGCACCCGCTGTAGCCTCCATGGGAGCCTGAACTTTGAAAAATCCTGTTCAAGTCCCTGATGGTGGCCGGAAAACGAAACTTTCACCGCCAGTAGAACTCGCTCCACTCTATCCAGTGCAGCCAACCGTATGGTTTGGTCTTTGGGGGTTTTGGCGCAATTAATTTTAGAAAATCAGTCAGCACCAG